GGAGAAATGGAAAGTGGTCGTCAGGGCAGGTTTGACTGTTGCCAAAAAATCTTGAGAACGGAAACCGTTCGCAGAAATAGAGGTCAAGTTTATTTTCCTGAGCGTTCGGAGAAATAGTCACTTCGCTAAAATTATTATGAATTCAAGTATTGATTTTTAATTAAAGAAGTTTGTGAATGAACTGCACCTTGTTACTATAGAAGGGCAACAATGAAATTGACTTGTTTTTTAAAACTTTAAGTTTTTCAAGTTCCATGATGAATGAATGAATTAATTAAAATCTTCTCCAAAAAGTAATTGTTTTAGTAGAAAAATATTGGAGGAATTCCATAACGAGCGACTACTATGAAACAGTAGAATAGAGGGTTAGGGTTTAGGGTAAGGGTAGGGGTTGGGTCATGGTTAGGTCTTTTTTTATGAGTGTGTTCATTACGGAAGTCCTTCCAAATTAGCCTATCTCTTGTTGCATGTGTGCCCTTTAACTGTTGAAGTGAAGTTTCTCTTCACTGTATATTTTGTATTCAAAATTATACATATTATGCATTCTCATTAGTACAAGCCAAAATCATAAATGCGAATGTTGATAATTTACACTTTACAGGTTTTCATCATGGAAGAACCTTATGTGGCGTGCGCTGGTTCAGATGCTTCGTCCACGCTAAAGCAGAAGAGATTAGAACAGCTTATTGGAGATATCTGGGCCTTTTTGGAAGAATATTTGACACTGCTGAACACACATGGAGCAGAGTTCATATCTGCTGGACACTGGGAAAAATTGGTGCCTGTATCTGTCAGGCCAGTTTTGTTGTCCTTATCTGATGAAGAGCTTTGTGATCTTCCATTGGGAAAGGCTGAATTTAAAAATTGTACAACATCAAATGAGGAATTCAAGACAGGAGTGCAAGTATGTATTCTCTGAGCTGTGTTTTTCCCAAAATAAGGTTTCTGTAATTTTGATCTGAACAGGGGTTTAATATGCATGTAACTGAAACTAGGAAGGATAAGATTTTTACAAACAGCTATGCGATGTGTTTAGTTTATGTTGATGTCTGTTATAAAATGTCTCAGCTGGGTTTATTCATTACCCTCTTTTTATTTTTACTCCTTCACCGCAGGCATATTAAATGTAGTTGTAATACTGTGGAACTCAGATTTAGCAAACTCGGATTAAACGAATACTCGGATTCAACGAAAGAAGACAGGTTCCCCTTTTTAGAAGTTCATTGAAGTCAACAAAATAATTCAGTTTCAACGAACACATAAATTAGTGAACTCGGTTTCAACTAAGTCGCAATGAATCATATTTGCTTTATTCCGAGAGACCACCAATCACACCTGCAACGTAGATCATTAGCCTAACCTAATGCATATACATCTTATGAGTCCGATCAGAAGTTTTCTTTCACTTCAACATGTGCATTGTTGACACACCAGAAGACATGGCATGTCTTAATGTGTGCCAGGATCAAAAGAGGTCGGTTTGGTGGGTGTTAGTGAGTGTGTCTAAGGAGACAAGGGGGAAGGAGGTGGGGAGCATAACAAGCGTTTCAGGCTTAGAAAGTTGGCAGAAATACAACAGAAATACGAACATGTCACAATAATATCCACCCCTTCCCTCCAGGCTACTGTACAATAAAAGGCTAGTCGAGATAATTCTATGTAAGGAATTGTGTGCTGGTCTGTGGAAACAGACGTTAGCGTATGCTAAGCTCTACATTGCGATGCAACTTGTTTCTTGCATTCATTGCTAGCATGCTATAACAAGCTCTCAGATTTAAAAAAATCGAAGGTCAGGCCTGACAACTTTGCTATATCTGAGTTTTGCCGTGTGTGCAGTGATAGAAAGACATATTGGTAAGTGCCACCAGGAAAGCTGTATTTGATGAAACATGAAGTAAGCCCAGTCTAGACAAAATAACAGTGTTGACTGCCAAAATGAAAATGTTTTGTTGGGACTCCTCCTTGTCCTGGGAGACCACGCTAGTTTAGACTGGTCATGTACGTACAATTAGAATAAAATTCATTGCTTATTTTGAAAAAAAAAAGTTCTTTCTGATGTATGATAATCTAAAAGTAAAACAGAATCTTTTGGGTTTAGTTTAGTCTCAGTAAATAGAAACATATCGGCATGACGACAGTCATTTTAGAGGGGAGAGAACAAGACAAGACAGACAAATAGTAGATGGAAGTAAAAGAAATAGGACATACCAGTGGTGCTCTCAAACCACTTGCAAAATGTTGTTGCGATTTTTAAAAAATTTGTTGTGTGAAAAGTTTTTATATTTTTAAAAAAAATTTCATTCTACAGTGGCTGAAGAGTTTTATCCAAGCTGCTCTACAGTTTCATATGGAAAATACCAACACACTTCAGTCCATAGACACTGTGCTAGGAGAAGGGAAAGTGTTGAGTGAAGGTCGTGAAGTTGTCTCAGAGGCCATGTGCCAGAAAAAGGTCCATGAGGTTGGCCTCATGTCAGAGGTTGTTGTTGCTATGTGTAGCGCCTGTTCTGCTGATTTGGTGAGTTGTATTTGTTTACATGCTAGTATTGTTTTTTTGTCTTATAGATCAAATATGTTACAGACATAGAGATATGTTACAGACATTGAGAACACTTCTCTGGGGTGTAAAAGTTTTATTGCAAGCATATCAATTTTTTAAAACTTGTGTCACAGACATGTGCATTATTCATAATTAGTTGAGCTCCTGCTATTCTTTTGTTTTACCTTTCTTCTTTTTGTTGCCTTCCTGCCTCATTAATAAAAATGTACTCAACATTCTTTTGTTTCTTTAACACTTTGCAGTCACTTGGCGCAATAACGCGCCGGTGAAAATGACCCGTTCCTGTCACCTGGCGCACTTCTGCGCCAAGCCGGAGAAGTCCTTTGCAGTAGCTCTCCTGGCTGGGTGACCAGATGGGGTATTTTGTGCTGCTGGCTGTGTGACTGCAAAGTGTTAAGAACTTTCTATGTTTTTTGTGTCAGAGGATGCAATTGTTTTGTGTCGGAGGGCTTTACTATAGCTCTTACCAGCTTTATATACGTATATATTTTCACTCCATCGTGAGAGTAAAGCTTCTCCTGCTCTTTCTTTATTGTCACTTGGAATCCATGCTCACAGAATTGGGGCTTGGAAGAGAAATGAGAGTATTGAGAGTTTGTCACTTGTAATCAAAACTTTTGCAGCATGCTTTCCTTTTTAAAACCTGTTTTGTCAGATTTAGAGAGTTAAACTTTTAAAACGTTTTTTCTTCATTTTATATTTAGTTTAAACTGTCATATTTTATACATGCACAAGATAAGATAAGATAAGATACATCTTTATTGTCCAGATCCTGGCACATTGGTTTGGTGTTCCACCACGAGTACACGCACACACACATACAAGTGATGGTAACTGACATTGAAGACTAGAATGAGAGAATTGTGCATGATTGTTTCCCTTTAGGTTATTGACATTGGCAGTGGCAAAGGTTACTTGAGTTGTGAGTTGGCAAGACAACATCATATGCCAGTGCTAGGGCTGGACTCAAGGGAAGGGAACACGCACAGTGCAGCCAGCCGTGACAGTCGACTGAGCAAGAGGTGGGCCGGTCTCACCCGCAGGCAGCAGAGGCAACAAGAGATGAAAGTAAGCTCAGGATTATTGTTTTTCGAACAGTACACACAAGTTGAATGCTCCTTACTTTGTATTCCAGGTGTCACTGTTTATATTTACTTCCAATTTGTGATGTGAGTATTCTACAGTATAACACAGATAGGTCGAACACAGAAGACTCAAAATCATGCATCAGTTGAACTGTGACTGGTCCAGTTTTTTTGTTTATCCTTCTTTATCAATGTAAGATATCCCTCGAACTATGGACCCCTCAAACTACCGAGGCTGGTCGCAATGAATTTGTACTATCTATGTTATACTGTATTTTGTTGTAACAAACTGTATAAATGGGTTTTCTTCATATTTATGTTGTCCACATTTCTTGTTTCTTGTTCAAATAAAAAGATTATGGAAGTCTTAATAGACTATGATGATGTAACTGACATAATGATGGTGTAACTATAGGTGTCCTAATTGGTTATGTTTGCCGCTGTAAGAGTCATATGATGTGCATCACAGCATTCCCATTTTTGTTCGGCTTAGTCTCCTGAAATCCGTCAGTTTCATTATAGTAGGACCAGAGAGGGTTTACAGTAATAGAGAGGTGACACTCGTGGCGGAGTTCCATAACAACAGTGCATTGTTTCGCGTATCGCCCGGCGCGGGGCGCGAAAACACTTACGCGCGGTGATCGCTGTCACGGCGATGCTCAGGGATGCTGTCATGTCATGAGAAAGTGTAGTACCGTCTCTAGTTAGTTCACTAGGTTACTAGGCCTTTAAAGAAAGGAGGCCTGTGAATTCTATCGCATATTTTAGGCAACTCCCCTGCCTCCCTCGGCCATAAATTAAGACTTGTTTTTGGCTTAAGTTAACATACATTCTAATAAACAAATAGACGCAGATACATTTTTCTTCGTCTCTATAGATCTGGAAAAAAATCCCCATAATTAAAGGAATAATCGGTTTAATTTTCAGCAAATCTACTCGTTCTCCAGTGTCCCTCTGTCATCTCTCTCCCTCTCTGTCTGTCTGTCTGTCTTTTTCTCTCTCCCTGTCTCTTTTTCTCTCTCCCCCCTCTCTCCCTCTGTCTACCTGTCAGTCTGTCTGTCAGTCTGTCTGTCTGTCTGTCTGTCTGTCTGTCTGTCTGTCTGTCTGTCTGTCTGTCTGTCTGTCTGTCTGTCTGTCTGTCTGTCTGTCTGTCTGTCTGTCTGTCTGTCTCTTTCTTTCTTTCTTTCTTTCTTTCTTTCTTTTTCTTTTTCACACCCTCTCGCCCTGTCTATCAGCGTGTCTGTCTGACTGTCTGTTGGTTTTCTCTGTCTGTCTGTCTGTCTGTCTGTCTGTCTGTCTGTCTGTCTGTCTGTCTGTCTGTCTGTCTGTCTGTCTGTCTGTCTTCTTCTCCCCCTTCTCTCGCTCCGTCTATTTGTCTCTGTCTCTGTCTCTGTCTCTCTCTGTCTGTCTGTCTGTCTCTCTCTCTCTCTCTCTCTCTCTCTCTCTCTCTCTCTCTCTCTCTCTCTCTCTCTCTCTCTCTCTCTGTCTATCTTTCTCCCCTCTATAGCTCTGTTTATTTGTCTGTCTGTCAATCTATTTCTCTGTCTCAGTTTCTGTCTGTCTCTGTCTCTCTCTCTCTCTTTCTCTCTCTCTCTCTCTGTCTCTCTCTCTCTCTCTGTCTGTCTGTCTCTCTCTCTCTCTCTGTCTCTGTCTCTCTCTCTCTCTCACACACACACACACACATACTCACACACACACACATATATATATATAATATTAAATTCTCACACTTTCAGATCATGGAAAAGCACATGAAGCAATAATGATAGATCTACCAATTAAAGTATTCGTAACACCTTCCATCTCCCATCCTACCCCCCCCCCCCCCCCCCCCCCCAAAAATGGTAATCGGACAAAGAAAGTTCCAAAACCGATCGACAGCACTTTGTGTTTAGAAAACTTTTAGACATATCTTTCACTAGTAGAATGCAGGCTCAAAAGTTGAAGTGTGTTGAGTTAGTGCTTGGAGTGTCAGTCTGGTAGGACCACAATCATAATGTCTTTATTTTGATCTATATTTTTTTATTCATCAAAAAAATAATATTCGTCATCCTTTGGAAATCGAAAGAAACTCAGATTTTCATTTTAATAGGTGCAGTTTATAGCATAACACCATTGACACTTGGTGCTAACCGGGGCCATGCTTGTCTGCGACCAACGAAAATCCCTTGAACAATGGACGCAGTTTGTTTTGTTTACCGCACATTTCTCCACGATCAGCTGGTGACCCAGATACGCACATCCGGGCGAAGTGCCGTCTCTCTAGTATTACTGTAAACTCTCTGGTGGGACTTAACCTTTCTCGGATATCAAGCTGGTACTTTTGCGCAAAGTTGTAGATTTAATTACAAGAACATGCACTAACTTAGCTAAGAACTGTAAGCACATGGTAAGGAGTCGTCACTTATGATTTTTACACGTTCTAAGGTTATGAAATGGCATGTAACTGCGGATTGTTTCTGCGTGATTACATTAGAATCGTTTTTCTTTATTATAAATAACTTTCTCTTATTGTACTGATTACACCGTTTTTTTGCCTTGACAAAATATATTTGATGTGACTGTGAGTTTGTGAGCATTCTTTATTTTGGATATTGGTGTTACAGCATACTTTACTGCTGAGTGGCAATCTAGAACTTTGTTGGAAATATTGCTTCTTCTTTTTAAAGGAAAGCTTTTAGACCGAACCTGTCTGGTGTCATTTGTACCTGAGAGTTAATTACAGATCAGTGCAGTAAATTCTTTATTTTTAGAGTTCACTTTACATAAATTTCCTTCAAGTCATGAGAGTAAGAGATTAAAGAATGTCTCTGGTATTCCAACTTGTTTTCTTTCCCTCTATTATTTTTTCTGTCTATCTGTCTTGCCTTTTCCATGCACTAATTGGCTATTATCATGTTGATATGTATCTCAGTATTTGAACTATACCATAGAAATTCCAGAGTTATATTTATAGAGATTGACTTCACTTTTTTTTATTTTTTTATATTCTTTCAGAAAAAGAGCAGCCAGAATTCCTCAAGTGGTACCCAAAAGACTCTCTGTGAAAAGGAAAGACCTTCAAATTGTGATTCTTCTGTTTCAAAGTTAGTTCATAATAGTCGAGGCAATACAGATGATGTAAAGCCCAAAAGCACCACCCTTGAAAGAGGACAGAGCCCATCAAGTGGTGGCTCTTCTGGAGTATGTGATCATCCCTTGACTCAGGACATTGAGGAACAGATCAAAATGTGTACTCTTAATCAGAAGGAAAAGAATGTATCGGAGTCCACTGTGGATTCATCAGATAATGACATTAAACGTCATGGTAACAGAAACAATAAAGTGGATGCTGAGACTACCTGCTTTAGCCCTGTACTGGACTCCGATGGACTGGGAGATGGGGAAGCGCCATCTTCTGTTCCTGAAGTTGTGCAACAGAATGGAAGTGGGCCATCCTCTTCAAATAAAGGACTCTATGTTCCAGTCACAATGTATGTTCAACCTGACATGAATGTTCGTAATATCCTTGCTAGTACTGCTGCACATCTGTGCAGAGATCGACCCGTTTCAGACGCCCGGCTTCTTGTTGCAGGTTGGGTTTTTTGTTTTTTTGGCATTTAATCTCACCTTCTGCTGATCTGCTGCTCATAGTGCTACTTCCTCTGTTCCTTTAATATGCTGCTTATGTTTTCTCAGTAACTTTGCTTGAAAAATCACTGCACTAACATAATGGACTGAAAGCTCAAAACAACAAATTTACGAAAGTTCTAGAGTAGTAGTAAGCTGTCAACATTGTAATATTAGCCAGTTTTGGGGCATAGGATTTGGCCACCACACTTATGTACAGACAGTATTAATACATTGCTGCTTGTCTGAAAAGGGGAAATTTTGTAAAACAATAAAAATCTTTGATTTACGGTTATTCATGTGAGCCCTTGCCACTGCTACACCGGTGGCGTGTAAAACTGTCCGCTTGCATAGCCACCAGTACACCGGTTAGTGAGACCCCAGCCCCAACTTGTCCCGCCTGAGACAAAACGCGTATGGTAAATAGCGTTTACTACACAAGTCGTTATTGATTTTAAAAAAAGTCTTTCTGAATTAGATGCTGGTAATTACAAGGAGTACCCTGAGTGGGATACGGAAAGTGATTCTGACGATCATATGCATGTTAGTAATATATTGCTCAGGAGCTCAGGCAGAGGGGCACGGTAGCCTCATCAGGTCAGAGCTCAAAGGGTTAATGGGAGGAGTGACCCTCATTTTGGCTGATTTTGGGTCAAGCTATGCAAATTGAGATGTTGGCTGATTTTTTCAGATCAACCAGGTTTTTTTTGGTCTAAAAATAGTAAGGAAACAATTGAGAAAGTCTTTATTCTGGTCATAAATTGCCTTTGAAAACATGAGGGTAGGTTAAGGTATAGTGAATTTTCACAATAATTGTCGTTTTCTAAATATATTATTTTTTTTTCTCCAGTTTTTCCCCTACTCTTTCCTTTGTTTTCATCCTTTTGGCTTGAAACTTTCAAGGCTGCCGTCGATGAAACAGAGAGATATTTGCAAAAAAAACCCACACTTTTTCATTGGCAAGCGATTACACAACCAAAATTTGGAAAAGGTTTATAAACTAAAAAACTAACACATTTGTTGGATTTTCACAGGTCTTCATACATGTGGTAGCCTAGCAGTGACCAGCCTACAGTTGTTTATACAAGACCCAGGAGCTGTGGGTTTGTGCTCTGTGGGATGCTGTTATCACCTCATGGAGGAAGGTAAAATAGACAGACTCGTTCTGTGGGAGGTTGGCGTGTGCTCTGGTGTAGTTTACTTCTTCTTTCCTATCAAACATCTTTCGTCCTTATCTCTCCTCTTTTTCTGCTCTTACATGACCTAATTAAGCGCCTTAAAACGTGTACTAAAACAAAATATCTCTCATTTTTTTTCTTGGTACTCGTATATTACTTTATAGTGACATCGATAATCTTTGTCACTTTCTCAAATATTACCTATTCGTGTTGCAAGCTCTTACCAAAACTAAAAGGCTCATTCATGCAGACATGCACATGCACACATACAAACTTGGACATACCCACTCACACTTTGCACACACACATAAACTTACCACTCTCACAAACTTATGAATGCCCGTTTTCTGCTGACATACAGGCACACTCGCCCATATGCAATGCTTATTTTGAATCGTACTACCGTCATTTAAAAAAAAATACAGTTTATCCAGTTCTTACTATTTTTACAAGAGAGCCAACTCTTTCCAAACATCCTAAGTCAATATTCTTATGATTACAATTTTGATCACATTTTCCTTATTATCTTTGAAGCAAATATTTTATTTGTAACAACATTCAGTTTTTTGGTCCTCCTTGTCAAATTGTAAAAACTGCATATACTGTATTTTTAGAAATGACCATACTGACACACACGTAAATGTACATATTCAAGTTGTTGTACACATGCAAACATAATATAATATTCCTACGTTTTAGGAATGAGAGTTATTGCATGTGTGTTCCTGATTTTGGCTCAGACCTTTACTGGTCCCTCTGCCCATGTTTATATTTGCTTCTCTTTTAGCAGTTAAGATGAACAATGCTTTAGAGTTAGAGTCGAAAATAATAACCTTTGAGTTCAGTCTTTTATTGCATTGTCTGAAGCCTCTACCATCTGATCCATCAGTCTATCACTGGCTTTAATGAGAGTAAAACTAATGTTCAATGACTGATACTTAATGACAGTTTGATTTTAGTCTTACTGTAAGGACTGTAAATGCTCTAATCAGCACTAATTCGATAATTTCAGAAGCAAGTTGCTGTTACACATTTGTCAGAGCCAACCTCAACTGGGTAGGATACATCGTAGGGGATTGATGGAGCGACTTAGTAATTTTTGATTTTGTATGCCAGAATTGACTGCTGTCTTCTTCTGTGTTCTACGACGAAGAATCTGACCATTGCACCACAGGTTGCGGCTCTCTTTCATTCCCTGCATATTTTTTAACAAAGGAGAAGACAAAACATGTTTTATGTGTTGTGATTTACAGGTTTTAGCCAAGATACATGTGGTGATGTCGACTCGCACTTTCCACTCAGCCAATATGCCAAGAGGAAACAAATACATTTGGGTCGTAATGCAAGGAATGTAGCTTCTCAAGCTGTTCATCGTATCCACGCTTCTCGGCAGGTACAGTGAGTGGTTTTACATGGTTGACCCCTTTGTTGCCTCATGACATACCTCGTAAGTCACAAAATTTCATAATTCTTCGCTTTGTGCTGTACCATTGAGGTCATGGAAGTTTGCAAAATTTTCTTCTCCTGGTAGTCTTAAGTGACATTACATGTATGTCACACTTACCACTTGGCTTTGATTCTTCTGTATGGAGCTTTAGTCTTAAGCACTGCATAGATTCTTATTTGGGAATAAAGATGTACATATCGGAAACAAATTTGCTAGCATTGGATCGTGTACAGGTTAAAAAAATGATTCGGAATTTACAGCATGGTACCATCTGTATCCCACCTGAAAACCCAGGAGTGTTACTTAAATAAATGTATTGAATGAAAGCTCAGATTTTCTTCGATTACCTACAGTTTGAAATTGGCTTCGATGTAGCTGCTTATTCTTTATGAATATTGTTTTATGAAGTGGAAGTTTACTTGTTTTGAATTATATTTGTGAATATCGGAAATATTTTGTTTTTCCTAAATCAAGAAGTGACTGGGAGTCGGTTTGTTTTCTAAATTATTTACAAACCCCATAATTTTTTTGCAGAGGCGATCACTTTGCAAGCCCATTACTCTCTAGGTGCCAAGCTATTTGTTTTAAAATCTGATACAGCTTTGTAGAGAAATAAAATATTGTTCTTTAACATGTACTTCATATGAGTGACTTATATATCTTTTTCAGCTTCAAGGAGGAGACTTTTTCTGGCGGGCTTTGCTCGAAGTTTTAATACATGATCTGGAGCTGTCTGTGCCTGAGAGGATTGTGGGGATGAGGGGCCTCGTCAAACGCAGCAAATGTTTTTATGAATACGCTGTGGCTGCCTTCAAGAAACTGGGTCTGCCATCAGAGAAGGTTGGTTGTAAATATGCACCATTGGAACTGTTTCTTATTCTAGAGGTGCCTATGGCTGTGGTTTGCAATTTACCAATCTGAAATGTAATTATTGTAGAGAGTGGTTTGTTCTATTTCCTTCAATATGTGATGGTCAAACTATGTGGTTCAATGGAAAGTTTTCAAATAATCTTCACTAAGATACATGTAAAGTTCTCTGAGGAGATCATGTGATAGTGGAAACATTTTGAAACATGGCATTTAGCATGCTTGAAAAGCTTCCTCTTACTTGAAATTTTTGCACTTCATTAGGGTGCAGCTTTATGTTTCTGTAAAAGGTTATAGGATTTAAAAGGGAATAGGGGTCCAGAGAAGAAGTTTGTTGAAAGTGGCTTTTACAATTTTCGTGGTAGGCACGCTTAAGTCTTACAAGCTGGTAGTTCTACTAATTGGACACTGCCTTTCTACCTTTGCGAAGGATCATCTACTCATCAGATGTTGAGGGTGATCATTTTTGGTAAAATAATAGCGTCTATATTATTGGGTCCCGCTTTTCATAGTTTTTAAAAATAATTAATTATAATCCTCAAAATAACTCAGATTCAGCGAACACATAAATGAGTTAACTCAGATTCAACTAAATCACTTGCAAGGTGACCAGCCTCCACTGATGTGGCTTCACTCATTTTTCTCCCACTACGAACCTTATGTACTTTATTCCAAGAGACCATCCATCTCACATGCACTGTGGATCGTTTCATACTTAGCTGAGCCTATTGTGTATATCTTATGCGAACTATCAGAGACCGTCTTTCACACCAACACATGGAGGACATTATGCGTCATAGTTTATGCCAGGGTCAAGAGGAGAGGTCAGTTGGGTGACTGTTGTTAGTGCATGTTTCAGGGAGGGGCAGAGATAAATACGCGTCACAAGCATATCCACTCCAGGCCCCACCTACTAGACTATGAAAGACTAGTCTCGACACAGTTCTGAATCTTCTTAATGAATTGCATGGTTGCATGCTGGGCTGTTGAAACAGATGTTATCTTATGCTTGGCCCTATATTGTGATGCAACTTGTTGCTCACATTGCTATAACGAACACTCAGATTCAACTAATAGGAAGATCAGTAAGAAATGATTGAATGTGAAACATTTGCAAACTACCAATTTGCTTCTCAAGGTGAAGGAATTAATAGGACACAAGTGCAAGAGGGTTATTCACCTTTGCAATGCTTGTAATCTTGGAAAGTCTTGTCTGAACTATCATCAGTGAGTATGCTGCAGAGCTCTGTGAGAAGAAAAAGAATGAACTCAACATCAGTCCCACGTCCCTATTTCTGTGCTGGACCCAAGTTTCTCTCTGTCAGAGTGCTGTATGACTTGTTGCCCATCTTAATTTCAATTGATATAGTGTAAAAAGTCATCAATCAATAACCACTGAGCCACTGAACCTCACATGGAAACACCTTGCTATTGCAGATCTGCCAAGCACTCCGGTAAAATCAGAACCCTCCAAATTTTGTTTTGCTTAATGAAGAACCCTGATTGGATTTGCATCTTTCACTGGTTGTGGGCAACCTTATCATAAATGATAACTGACATAAAAGTACACATGTTTATTTGTGATAATTTGTATATATTCACTATATACATTTATTTGCTACTTTTAGGTTTGTAACATTACCTAAACTTACTGGGATTCTGCAGACTCCAATTTTTCCCCCAAAAATTCAATTTTTAGGGAGGATTCTAAGGAAAACTCAAATTTTTAATTATGGAGTGGGCAACTGTTTCTGTACCTGCACCCTTTAAGTTCTTCCTTATGTGGTTGAGCTGATTTTCTTGTTTATATGAAATATTTTTAGTTCTTGTGTGTGTTATGTTTTACTCTCAGTAATCATGGCATCATGTAAAATACTTAGAGCTTAAACTTGTATAGGACAGAGCGGTATATGAATGCAATCTGTTATTGTTATTAAGGTACTGTCAAATCGAAATAGAGTTGAGCCTTCTTTCCTATCAAACATCTATTGTCTTTGTCTCCCCTCCTTCCTTTTTTATGTTTGTTACTCTCGTGTAAAAACTCTGACCTTTGGCTCTTGTATGACCTAAATCTAATTGTGTTTCAAGTAATGTAAAATGCTTATTGAAACAAAGAACAGAAGAGGAAAAAAGTTAAAGACAATGTCATTCTTTTTCTTGGCCCACAGCTTCTTCAGGGTGATGTTGAGGCTTTAGAGCATTGCTGTGCTGGAGATCAACTTAAGATGACGACTTTCTTCCAGTTGAAACTGGCGCTGGCCCCAGTGGTAGAGACGTTGATTCTGGCTGACAGATACCTGTATTTATTGGAACAGGTAGGCTCCAGGTTTAAGGAGATCAGTGATGATACATCGTGGTAAAATCAGGCTCTCATCAAAAGAACGAAATCAAATGAACTGGGACTTTTCTGGCCTATGGCCATTTTTTAACGATTTTCCTTTTTTTTGACTCAACACCTCTCATGCGCTTTTAAAAACACATCTCTTTGTGGATTTTTACTGCAAACGGTGATCAAAGGTACATCATTTGTAAATTTGCAGTTTCCAATGACTTTTACACTTTGAAAGTCACCTAACTTTAATGGCCATTTTTTTCGCTTATTTACCTCTCACACAAAGCGACTCCTACCTCCTTCAATCACAATTATATCAACTTCTGTGCAAGATAGATTGGTATTTTGTTCATCTAAAGCTAGACAAATGAACAAGCTTTAAGATGATACCTAACTGATATGCTAAAAAAATTGGCACGCGATTTCACAGTTGAACCTGCTATAATAAACACCATTCGAAGATAACTACTTTTCTCTTCAACTGTGGGTAGTCCTTTTGGGCTGATATGACTGGACTGTAATATCATGCCATTTTTCTGAACTGCCACGAATATGGCCCTAAACATTCTCATGGTTATCTCCCCAGGACTGCGTTGCGGATGCACATCTCGTGCAGCTGTTTGACCCAGTTACTTCCCCTAGATGCTGTGCACTGATTGCCAGAAAAAAATCCTTGTGATGTGGAACAAAGGAAAAGACAGTGCACTAGTTTGATGTTGAAATGTGAAATTGACATGATGTTTATGATATGAGAGTGCATGTTTATTACTGAAGAATACTTGAAGTTAAAATGTTAATAATTAAATGTTTATTTTGCAAAACTTCACTTGAATTTCTTGAGGTAAATTTGAGAAAGAAATGATGGTATAGTCTTGCACGGATACCTCAAACATGTCGAGGATTGAGGAAATGTTTGATACATCCATAATTCGAGTCAGCTGATAATTTAAAATTACAGAGATACAAGTATGAGTCGGGGGATTATGGATATTGTACGAGGTATCCTTGATTTCAAGTTTTCCGTGTTCATTTTATCTGTGCCTGAATGTACTCCTATTGAGAATGGTGTCTGCTTCCTCATTGAAAAATAGTAAATAAATAGGACCTGGAATCTACAGTAAAACCTGCCCTGACGACCATCTATAAGACGACCACCTGAATAAACGGCCACTTTCCATTTCCCCCCTTGCGTTTTTTCTATTTAATTTAACTGTGTAAAACGGGCACCTGTCCAATGCGGCCGCGGCCACCATATTTTAACACACAACACCTATCACACAAAGCAATAACACCTGTCTTAGACGGCCACCTTAGTGACTCCACTACGTTTTGTCATAAATTGTGCTTTGGCCCCTGGCGTTGTGGGCGAGCCGTCATAATTCGATCACCTGTCGTTGTTGTAAGATAGTCCCTCCAACCGATCATGTTGCATAGACCCCTCCCACTGTTGACCAATAGGTACCCGGTAAAAAATTTTCAGCTGCTGGTGAGGTAGGGCGTGTGATCCCTCATAACCAATAGCCATAAGCCCTGCCTAGAACTCGTACTCAAATTGTAAGTGAGATGAGTGGTCACTGTTTACCCAGTCTGTAACAAAGTAACAATGGACGTCAACATGAACTTGTGAAAGAAGCGTCGCTCGTTCTATGAGTGGTGGCGACCCGTGTGTTTGTTTTACCATAGCACTCGGTCCTCCTTGTCTGACACGATTCGTTTTATTGTCACCCTTGCACAAAAGCAGCAACAAAAGAAAAAAAGAAGAAAGAACCCCCAGCGAAAACAACAACAACAACTATGCGGCTACTTTCGATTGGGACCTGAGAAAGGAATGGTTTGTTTTCTTTATCTTGATTCGTCCTGCTTAAGACGGCCACCTGTCTTATACGGCCACTTTTCTCCTTGACAATGGGTGGCCGTCTTACACAGGTTCGACTGTACTTGCAAGTCCATGCAGGAACCGTTCCAATTGAAATCTTTGTTTTCTGACAGTCACAAAGTCTAAGACAATGAACAGTGTCAAGTGTACCAGTTTTGACAGTTTAAATGTGGCAAGTATAATTCATGTATTGAATATCAAATACGATTCTGTGTTTCAAGACACCATCGTATAAAATTGTATTTCAATCTAATAATCAAAAGAAGTCAGTGAGTTCAAGTTGGCCCTATCTTGGCAGTATCTTCTTGGATACAATTTACCGGGCAGAGAATCCTATACTTTATTTTTTATTTTGCAAGTGTTTTACGGTGCTCGCAACTGCATAAGGTCATATGAGCGTGCGGGACACATTAAACATTTTCAGTTGGTAGGAAATTTTGAATTTTGCCTGGGTGGCAGCCGAAGCCTACTCGAATCGATTTTGCGCAAGGGATCTTTAACTTTAACGTGCGCAACTTGCACTCGAGACCTCCCGAGATTTTTCACCTTTGCCTGAGAAGGCTAGGTGTAGATCTCTCCTATCAGCAGATCAAGGGTGTTGCTGAAAGATAGAATAAGATTAAGAAGAGCCAAGGAGTAGCAGTAGAAAGGCTGCGAAAAGAGTCAGGAGCCAAGAGCAAATGAGGTGAAGGGGTGGGGGCAGAAAGTGGAGACGAAAGCAGACAACAGAACATTGCTAGAGAGCAGGAATGGAGGTGAAAGGAGACAATTTTAGAGAAGATTATTTTTCGGTCGCTACCCGGATTTGAACCTGGGACCTTTGAATGAAAGGCGAACACCTTAACCTCTAGGCCACGAGAGCCCCCATACTTTACGTTACTTTACTTTTCCAATCCAGTGGCCATTGAATACTAGCCCTTCTGCCTGAAAAGAGAATCCTATAAAATGGCGTAGAACTCAACTATAGCGAAATCCAGACTTTCATCAACAGATGTATCATGTATGAGGAGTATTCTAAGAATTAAGTGGCAGGATAGAACAAGAAATGAAGAGCTGTGGGAAAGGACAGAACAAAAGGATATACAAGTTAAAATAGGACTAAGAAAGTGGTGATGGACAGGACACACCTTAAGAAAACACAACGAGACGGTCACTGCATTGAACCCACAAGGAGCTCGAGGTAGGGGTACGCTACGGGAAACATGGAGGAGATGCGTGGAAAGGGACACGAGAGAGATGAAGCTCTTTTGGAACGAGCTTGAAAGGATGGCCCAGGACAGATAAATGGAAGGAGCTTGTATCATATGTGGCCTATCCCCTGCCAGGGTTGAAAGGCGTTAATGATGATGATGATGAGAGTGCAATGACCGACCGCTACTGAAGACGGTAGTAGGACTAAGAAATACCGATGCTTCCAGCTTTTGAGAACACATCTAGCTTTGGATAGAGTATATTTGAGAAAAAGAAGCCTACTCTATATTATTATGCTTCAACTTTAGATTAAAAAAAATGACGCGCTTGCTGTAACACTAACAACAAGGTTGCACAGAGTAACAAATTATAACCATTACTGAGAGTATAAGGACTGACTGCTCAAATTACTTAAAACAGTAGTAGGACAAAGAAATAAAGATGCTTCCAGCTTTTGATAACACGTCTATGTTTGGATAGAGTGTACCAATGCAAAAGAGCCTATAGTGCTAAAACCTATGGTAGAACACAATAATTTGTTGGTTTTTACAAGGCATACATGAAAACCAATAAAATCGTAATCAATACTGAGAGTAAATAATGTGTTCGCTGTTACAAGTTTGAACATAAGGGTGCACAAAAGTAACAGATGGTAACTAACTTTGAGAGTGTAACGACCGACCGCACAAGTTACTGAAAACAGTAGTAGGACTAAGAAATAAAGATGCTTCCAACTTTTTAGATCATATCTAGCTTTGGATAGAGTGTATTTGAGAAAAGAAACCTACTCTATATAATTCTGAAGCCTTTAATTAAAAAAAAATGTGTTTGCAGTGACAACAAAGGTGCACAAAAGTAACAAATCATAATCTATAAAGAAAGTGTAACGACCGACCGCACTAGTTATTTTTAAAAAAGTAGTAAGAAAAAGAAATAACGGGTTTTTTTTCGCTAATAAAAGCCTCTTTAATTATAGAACGTTTCGTAAAACATAATAATTTGTTAGTTTTTACAACTAGACATCCCCAAAAACTTGTAGATTTTAGTAAAGCTGAGAGTGTAACGACCGACCGCACAAATCATCAAAACTTTAGTAGAGCAAAGAAATGAAGGTGCTTCCAGCTTTTAAGAACATGTCTAGATTTAGATAGAGTTATCAGTGCAAAGAAGCCTCTATAATGCTAGAACTCTTAATAAAACCAAAACGTGTTGGTGGTTATAACAAATCATGCGGAAAAACTTATAAATTACAACCCTCACTGGAAGTGTAACGACCGACAGCACAAGTTATTGAAAACAGTAGTAGGGCAAAGAAATTAAGATGCTCTCAGCTCTTCAGAACATATCTATGTTAGGATAATATATACCCGAGAAAAAAGCTTAAATCAAATTGCTAGAACTAGTGGTCAAACACAATATTGTTTTGGCTGTTACAACTGAATTTGCACAAAAACTAATAAATTGTAACCAACCAGATTGTTACGACCTACGGCACAAAGATGCTCAAAACATAAGTGTTACAAAGAATAGAAATAACGAGTCTTCAACTTTTTAGAACAGTTTTAGATTTGGATAGAGCATACTCGAGAAAAGGACCCTATATAATGCTATAACCAGTGGGGGGAAAAAGAAAGATGTGTTTGCTGTTACAACAAAGCATGCACAAAGCTATCCAATTATAACCATTACTCAGAGTGTAACAGCTGACCAAACAAGCTACTGACAACAGAAGCAAGATTCTGAACATCTGGAAGCACCTTTATTTCTTAGTTCTACTACAGTTTTTTTCTGTAGATGTCTGGGGATGTCTAGGTTTGGATAGAGTTTATCCGTTCACAGAAGCCTATATGATGCTAGAACCTGCGGTCAAACTCAATAATGTGTTAGTTAACTACTAGGGAGAAAAAGCAAATTCACGAGACAGTGCACTTAATGCCTCAGTGTGTATGTAACTCTCTTAATTTTTTAGTTAAATAGAAATTGTCGAGAAAGAAAGACTGAGTGAGACTGGGACATAAACGAAGAAAATTATGAAAGTTTTGGGTGAGGTGTGTGTGTGTGTGTGCGTGC